CAGTTTAGGAAGGGACCAAAATTGACCGAGCTTTAGTTCCCAGTGAATACAGACTAACATAGGAAACAAGGTTTGGTTTAATCCCTTCAATTTCAACTTGATAGACCCAAGACCACAGCTTTGATTTAGTCGACGGATACACAAAAAAATTACGTTCTTCGTCTACTCCGCTGGTCACGCATGACTTAATATTTTGTTAAAACGTTACATCATGCGACGAGTTTCATATCTTAATAAATTAATCGTCTGCTTTGCGTCATACGGACTGTTCGCCACAGCTTAATAAAGTTTGAGAGGAAACCTTCTTCCATTCTTGGTTGTTTCCGTTTTGTTGTTTTCCACTTTAATTCGAAGGATTACTCCTCTGCATGAGCATACACTTCCATTTTCTGAGGTCTAGGGCTAGGCACCCTTGACACCAGCTTGAAAGATCCAGTCAGGCTCCACCTTTAGTGGACAAATAACATCAGTTCCCAAAGAGTTTCCTCAGACTGGTGTGTTTCTCATCTCCAGCCACCCCGATGCAAAATTTCATTTCCTGCTTCAGGTACCATCCTCTACAATGTATTCAGCGCAATCCAATGTGATGCCAATGGTGACAGAAACAAATGCAACTGATAATTGCCCCACTAAATTTACAGCTCTGTAACAGTAATTGCTTCTATTAGAGCTTTTCACAGCAACTACGCCAAACATCTTTCAAGGACCACATATTCAGGCCCAATCACAAGGCATTATATATGAACAAGCAAGCATGGACAAAAGAATAGTCTACCACGATTCTTAGATCCCTACTCTTGCTCCACGTGTCATGAGAACCAACAGCCTGATGTGAGTGAGACCTATTATTTCCCAAGCATTCTGGCATCATAAATAATGCCTAAAGCACAAATCCAAGCAACCATCAAACCTAAATATATGACATGAAAGAATGCCATCACGTTCAGAAACAGAAACAAGAATGAAATACCCACTAGTTTATATTTTTCACTCACACGCACAAAATGATCTTGGGCAATCACTTTAACTACAGCTGCTAAAACCAAATTGTTAATTTGCACTGTAATAGCCTTTTTCTGATGAAGGTAACATTGATATGAACAGAAAGATATCAAAACCGTGTATCTTCTTTACAACAAAGTCAACTAGACAACGTAAATGGTGCCCTATTTGTCTTTTATTTTGCCAAGGAATTACCCAACAAGCATCCTTCCACATCCCACATTTCCTTCACTTGATAACAGTCATCATAATGGCTAACTAAGAAAATGTTCAGTTAAAACATGTATCTAGCTACTATCGCATGCCAACTATATTAAGTTGGAACAAAAAGAAACTTTTTCCAAAATTTTACCCTCATTGTGAGTTCCTTGTCCTCTTGGCAGTGAACAGTTGACGAAGGAAAGCAAACTTCCCCTTTGTTCGAGCAGATAACTCAGTCATGGTTCCATTACTTGTTTCTGCTGTCTCGCTGGTGTCAGATTCAGGTATGGATGGTGAAGGTGGTGTGAGTGTGAAGAGAATTGCATTCAGCATACGGATTATCTGGCTGAAGCTGGGCCTCATGTTAGGGTCCTCAACCCAACATGATTGTATGATAAATGCCAGATCAGGGGATATATCCTCTGGAACGCTAGGTCGCTCTTGCTGCACACTCATATGACATCAACCTAGTTAGTTATCTGTTCATTTAAACATTTATCATGCATAGCAAATCAAAGCATTAAAGACTTGCACCTTTACTTAAAAAAAAAAAAAAGACTTGCACCTTAAAAGCAGCAGCATAAGCTGCCTGCAAATTGGACATGCCTTCAAATGGCATGCGATTGGTCAACAATTCCCATAAGACAATTCCAAAGCTGTAGACATCAACCTTGTTATTGTAATGCTTTTTCTCTCCCTGACGCAATGTCACTGTGCTATACAACTACAATGACAGATTGACAGTAAAAGAGTGATAATATGCAAGTAGAATGGTGTACAAAAGTTAATCTACCCATAGAATTACTTTTTGTTACATGAATGGATCATAACCATGACGCCGTGATGACAAAAAGTTCAGCAAGGAGGAGGATGAGTAGAGTATGATGAGAGGGAATTTCACCAACTGCAGAATATAAATGTCCTACTTTATTGTAATTTATTAGTTGCCATCCAAAACTAAAACAGGCTAGAAAGTGGTTCAAGAGTAATTTATGTATATTAATCCAGTCAGCTACTAAATATGACTTTAATAAATGATCAAGGAATACATTAATTTACAAGGTAAAAATATGCCAAACTCATTTGAGCAAAAATCAATAAATCACTGCAGACTAATAAATGAATTACCAATAGATGGATTCCCCTGCAACCTCTTAAGAAAACTGCAGAGATCACAAATAGTTTAAATAGAGTAGGGTTATTCTGTATGCAGCTAAGGTTTCGCCATTAACTATTCAACCAAAAAAAATCCAAATATATATAAACATCTCTGCATACAAATGTCTATCAATATAGAGTAAGTACATCAGAGAAAATGATAAATTTTCCCCTCCTAATTAAAACTTGATGATTTTCATAAACTTACATCATTCAGTAATCTGGTAATCTAGATATTTGAAACTATATTTAAACCTGATGATTTTCATAAACAATAGACTTATTGCCTCCAAAGAACATTAATGACTTACAGAGGGGAGAGGATATTCACCAGTTGACAAGAAATTGGAAAGTAACTTAAATGTTGTAACTAACAAGAAGAGAAAAAAAAAAAGCTTCAATCTTCATTGTAAATAGGATTGTTTGTCCATTCCGCTAAAACAAACTAGCACAAACCTCAGGGGCCATCCAGCGATAAGTCCCAGTCTCTGCAGTCATCATCTCTGTCACAGATTCTTCCCTTGCAAGACCAAAATCTGCAAGTTTAACAGACCTCTGGTTTGCTGTCAGCAACAAGTTATCTGCATTGATAAATTTCCATACAAATTTGCACTTAGTCAAAGTAATCAAGAACTAGATGCTAAACTAGAACAATGGTATTACATCAAACAGGGAACTACAACCCACAATTTCAATGGCACAGATTCAATCAGATACAAGCATCAGCCACTGCAACTCCAGTCGCAAAGTGAGTGCATTTAAAAGCATAGGACAGTTGTGTAATGCATATTCAGGTTCCAATATAAAATTGGGGATAGTATTGATTGAATGTAACATAGAAAACAGTCGCAAATAAAGAGACCAATGCAGCTGCAAATAATTCAAAAAAAAAATTATCTAAACCCACTAGTGCACAGCACAGAGAGAAAGAATTTGGACTTAAAGGAAAAGGGACAAACCGCATCCTAGTTAATATATAAATTTCAGTTTCTGCACAGTTACTAAATAATTTGACAGCTGTGAAGACTTCATGCAAACATGCCCAAGAGACAGAGAAACCGGATTAGAGCACGAAACCATCTCTAAGTGAAAAGATGATTATAAACCAGAATGAAATATCCACATTCCAGATGCTGCTATGAAAGGTATCATTGCGCCCTTTGAATTATTCCAAGCAAGCCTATCCAATTACTAAAAAATTCTTCTATAAAATAGCATTCTCTTATAACTGCTGAAGGATGCTCAAGAAGTACCAGGCTTTAGATCTCTATGTATAATCCCATTGGCATGCAGACATTCCATGGCTCGAGCAATGTCAAGCGCAAAATTCAAAGCCACATGAAAGTCTAAAACTTTCGGACGGATGCTAATTAAATATTTGCGGAGGGACATTCCTGGTAATAGCTCAGTTACTATTGCCATCAGCGGGTCCTTACAAGCTCCAAAGAACTGCCAAGGCAACAAATTCCCTATTGCAGGTGAGAAACAGATAAACCATAGATTCCCTCGATGAAACAGTCGATATTAAAAGCATCAAAGAAAATACTACTGCATACTGCATTTCACGTTTTGAACAGTCACCTTGACAAGATTCTCGTGTTTTACTCGAGACATCATGTTAACCTCACGAGCAAAACGACTCTCAAGTGCAGTTCTTTCCTCCACAGTACTCCCGCGGTGAAGAACTTTAATAGCAACGATCCGATCACCATACCTGGAAAAATATTAGACTCACCCCTATGTAACTAGGACAGCAGCCTTAGTGAACAAACACAAT